TAAGGGGTAAGATTGTGACAAAAATCATTAGGACACCTGAATGTCTTTATGAGATTTCATGGCTGATTGCTGTTTAAACATCTTGGTCTGGGCAGACTGACAGATCAAATGACTGGACTATATAATAATCATCATGCTTACAAGCACACAGTAATAATTATGGTTTCATTTAGGCCCAGGACTTTCTTCTATTAGTATTTGACTTTATGTACAAAGATCCCAAATTAAGATTATTTTATCATTCATTTGTTTGGATGATAAAAGGACTGAAGATGAAGAAATTTGTATACCTCTTAACACCATGTTGTTTTTGGGACATTTATTCCCAAAAGTGCTGCAAAACAAGCAACAGGGACCAAATGCTATCTCTGATTCTCTGTGTGTCTTCAGCCACACAATACATGAGTCATATTCTGAGGAACCAAAGAAACCAGAAAAGAACAGATGAGCACAGCAATGGTAGATAATGCTGTCATGACATCACCCTGGCGCTGATTAATAGGGTATCACTGTGTCTGTATTTAAACAATTTATGTGAGCAGAGGAGAGCCCCGCAGCTAGGATTATTTCCATGATAATATTTAAACAGAGCTGCTCTATACTCCACATCAGACCTGATATGCCCCGTCAGCTGCACCTTCATGTCCTGATGGCTCACACCCAGGCCTTGTCAGGACATTATATGCATCTGTGTTTGCACGAAAGCAAGTGGGCTGCGAAGCTTTAAGGCTTTGGCTCTTGGGAGAATCTATTGTATGGCACAGTATGAGCAACTGCAGTTTCTGTGCTCAAAAACAGTGTGTTATTCTAAAGTCCACGTCTGTCTAACTCTTTTTGGTTTTATGTGTTCTCTCCGTCTCAGGCAGCCGTGAAGCAGCCTTCGTCTACGCCATTTCCTCGGCAGGAGTGGTGTATGCGCTCACTCGAGCCTGCAGCCAGGGGGAGCTGAAGACGTGCAACTGTGACCCACACAAACGAGGACGAGCTAGCGACGAGAGAGGAGAGTTTGACTGGGGTGGCTGTAGTGACAACATCAACTACGGCATAAAGTTCGCAAAGGCCTTCATAGATGCCAAAGAAAGAACTGTCCGTGACGCCCGGGCACTCATGAACCTGCACAACAACCGCTGCGGCAGAACAGTAAGTGTGTAATTGCTGTACATTGAAGAGTTTGGAAGTACTCAACCCATGATATTAGTGTCTCAAAGGTTGATTTACCAAACTATGAAAAATACGGAGGTCCCGATCAAGTTTGTTCACTCCCGATCTGATCTCTACGTGCATGTCAGAAAATGTATTGTACACTAGCTGTAGTACCAGGTTGCACCACAGACTGGAGTCTCTTCCTGTTTAATCCTGGGGTGATCCAATGAGACTGTCACTCACGACTACAACCAGTTACATGTTGGCAAGTAGAGAGCACTGTTGGGGTTTAGCTTGGAACGGGCGACCATGACAAAGTCTTCTGTGATGCTCAATGACATCCAGAGCTTATGTGTTTAAAACAAAGCACAGCATTTTATATCCTAGTAGTACATGTAACAGAGCCAAAATCAATTAACAGCCAAAATCATGCACACAGCAACACAGCAATATCAGCTTACAACAAATGTGTATTATTATAATGGATTAAACGTTTATTGACTGATAAATGCTGTCGTTTAATAATTTAGATTTTGCACCCATAGCGTCTTGCCACAAATTGTGCACTTGTTGTCCGACACCTGCGTGACAACAGACATAAACAAAGAATTGGGGGCTTATGGTAAAACGGTAAATGGTCTGCACTTATATAGCGCCTTTTTCTACCTTAGCGGTACCCAAGGCGCTTTACAATGGGTTTCGCATTCACCCATTCACACACACATTCACACACCAATGGCGACAGAGCTGCCATGCAAGGCGCTAATCTGCCATTGGGAGCAACTTGGGGTTCAGTGTCTTGCCCAAGGACACTTCGGCAACCGCCAACCTTGCCATCAGTAGACAACCGGCTCTACCACCTGAGCCACAGCCGCCCCAGCTTATCAGCTTATGTTCATGCCGATGCCGAATAATTTAAAAAAATGCTCTCATCAACACTAATCCTGATCTTTGAGATTGGATTGGGACATTCCCAATGAAAAAACTTTGTATTTGCCATCTTTTCTTTGTTTTAAAAAGCGTTAATATCATCTCGATTCCACATGCATTATTACTCAATGTTTGTCACAATGGCTCACAAGTTCCTCATAATTCAATATGGAACAAAGTCTGGCATGACTCCACAACAGAAGCTGCCTTGGCTCAAATTAATTTGAGCTAGAAAGTGTTTTAAAGTTCTAGTGCAGGTGTACCTTACCTTGTTTTTCTTTATACAGATAATAATACATAAAAAAAATGAAGCAGCTACATTTCTTTCCAGAGTAGGCATTCCCATAATTCGTGATTACTTGCAGATCTCACTGCCACTTAAAACTTCAAGCACCCCAAGCAAAACTTAATTAATTGCTTTTGTATTTGAATGGAGACTGAAATTTGTCGGACTGTATACGATGATAAGAACATCAAATAAAGGAAATATGTCTTCACATAATCTGATTTGAAAACATTACTTCATTAGTGGTGCATTTTTAAAACGTGTAAAACCAAATTTCAATGATGGCTGAAACCGCATTAACAATCCACGCTTCTTCTTGTAGGCAGTGAAGCGTTTCATGAAGCTGGAATGTAAATGTCACGGAGTGAGCGGCTCTTGCACGTTGCGGACATGTTGGATGGCCATGTCCGACTTCAGGAAGACCGGCGACTACCTGCGCAGGAAATACAACGGGGCCATTGAGGTGACGATGAATCAGGACGGGACGGGTTTCGCTGTAGCCAACAAAGCCTTTAGAAAGGCCACCAAAAACGACCTGGTCTACTTTGAGAACTCTCCGGATTATTGCCTGCAGGACAAAGCAGCAGGTAAGAAGAAGGTAGACTGAAAGACAGAGAGGCAGTTTCTCATGGATGTTGATGGATTGCCCCGACTGTGTTATGTTTTAGGGGTGTTATGTGTATGTTGTGTGTATGTTCATGCATGACTAGTGTGTTTGTGTGTGTGGATGTCAGTGTATGTGTGTGTAATGGTAGTCAGATAACACAGCAGGCCTCCTCGTGTGATGTCTGTGGAAGCTAATATCCTTGTACCCCGAGGACACGGTGGTTCTGTGACCACCTGACCTCTGTCAGTCTCTGTCAACGCACACACATAGAAACACAACCCTAGGGTCAGGGGATGTCTTAAGCAACCTTTATGTACCACACCTAATCATTTATGACTGCGTCTAATTGGTTGTGTGATGTATGAAACGCCGTCAGACAAATTTTTAGGAATATCTGACATCAACACCTCCGTCACCGAGAAGCTCCGTCCGGTTCTTCCTTGACCGCGCTCCCTTTGTTTGCCTCTTCATTCGTTCCCGAACCCATCCTCCCCCTGTTTCTCACCTTCCCAGTGGAATCCACAGCCTAGGGACACAAACAGCTAATTTAAAAAAAAAAAAAAGAAAGACAGAAAAAAAAAAAATCACTTCTTTCTGTCTGTCACAGTCTCTCTCCCTCTCTGTCTGTCTGAACTAAGCGTAGCTGGAGGGCAGAGTGGGCCTCAGAGTGTGAGAGCCTGTCTGTCTGTCACGCTCCACTGTCCATTTAACCCTCACACACACACACACACATAGAGCGGCTTCAAAGGGAGCAGTGGCTTGGGAAAGGCAGTGTAACTATAGGCCACTCTACCAACACTGCATAGTTGTGTGTGTGGGTCTGTTGTTCTACGGGCAGCTTGTTGTGATAGGTAGCAGTTCAAACAGGGAGCTTCTCACACCAAACATGAGCGCTAATCTCTGTGGGGATGACATTCACATAAGACACAGACAATATGTCGTGGCAGTAGGTAATAGCCGGAGCGCTAAATGCTACGATACATTCGGTACCAGTGACCAGCGTGCTACACTGATCCGACGTCAAACCACACGGGGAGATCGCTAAAATTAAAATGAAATGACGCGATAAACATCTGCCATCAGTAAGAAAACATATTTTGAAAACAGTAACGCCTGTAATGATGCAAATAACTCAAAAGTTCCGGATATACGTGCTCACACTACATCCTCAGGTTAACTCCAGAGTCTCGACAGAGAAGATGAACTCTGAAATAATACTGCAACATTGTTCGGATGTCGTTTTCAGCTGCCTTTAATGAACAGTATTTTCCACCAAGGATGCCATGGGTTGATGCCACATTCTTGTCTCACAACTAGCTGAGCCAGAGAGAAATAATCAAATTTGCCACCGTGTTGTAAGTCTGAGATACCATGGATTTCTGACGATGTCTGTGACTCAGAGAAAGGAGCTATAGAAGTATCAACAAATCTGCAGAGATGTGGATTCAAAACCTTTGCTAGTAGTTACATCTAAATAAAAGATTATCACTACTAGAATCAATAAAGCTATTCCGAAAATTAAAAAGAAGCTATCTTCCGTTAGTTCGCATCTGGTTTCATATGATCACTAATTGAAGCTGCTAACAGTAATGGGTTGACTCTGTTGGTATGATACCTGGATACCCCCAAGTCTGAATACAGACATTCTTATTGCTGCATAATGCAGATTAAATGCAAGCAGTGTCACAAACACTGTCAGATGAGCTTGGGCTTGGAGAATGCACAGCAAGGGCCGAACAGAATAGACTGTTTTTGTAGATAGGGATCACAAATATGGCATCAGTATATCTGTAGTTTGGCTGAACCTCAACATCATCATAGGTGGATAAAGTCTGGTGTGTATTTCTTTAAACCAATCACACGTAAACTAGCGATGGATGGAATTATTTCTGTAGAGCATTTGCATGCAGAGAAGCGAGCACTGCCAATAAACTGGACGAATCACTGAAAAAAAACCTAGCAAGGCTGCTTTGGGTGATTTTGAAAATGGTAGCACATAGATAGTAGAAAGAGAGGAGAAAGCCAAAAACAAGCGTGTCAGACTCATCTGTAGTAGATCTGAGTAATCCAGGAAAGCTTTACATTTTTTCAGAGAGCTACAAATACTGCACTGAGTTACAAATACTGGTAGGCATGCAGCTAGCCTTGATTTTTAAAACAAGAATATTTTCATTATTGATTGGTGTATCAATTATGAGCTTGATTATTTGGATTATAAAGGTGTCAGTGTCCATCACAGTTTCTTTGACTTCAAGAATCTTTCTACCAACTTACTGTAAAACTCTAACACATGCACTAGATGTGAAGAAGAGCAATTGGCAGAGGAGTGAAACATAAAAGATCACCTAAGCAGCTTTAGTTTCAGTTGAATTTTTAGCTATTACCAACCAACTCTTTTAAATTTGTCTTGTAGGTTCCTTGGGCACAGCCGGACGGGTCTGCAACAAGACATCACGTGGCACGGACGGCTGTGAGGTCATGTGCTGCGGGCGCGGCTACGACACCACGCGAGTCAAGCAAATCACAAAGTGCGAGTGCAAGTTCAAATGGTGCTGCGCGGTGGAGTGTAAGGACTGTGAGGAAGCTGTGGACATACACACATGCAAGGCCCCCAAACGAGCAGAATGGTTGGACCAGACCTGAGGACGAAGCCCCTCCTGCTCCCCGCAATGCAACCCCACCCCTTTCCCCCCTCGCAGGACATCCTGTGAAACATGGCATTCTGGGAAAGTTTATCCAAAAGTGCTCTGCATCTCCGCCCTCCCGTTCCCCCCCCCACCTCGACTCATTGCATGGCTTTTCTACCTGTCTCTGTGAAAGCACTAGAATTCAGTACCCATCAATATGAATTACTACCAATTAGCTCCTGTTTGTGAGCGGCCCTGTGACTGAACTGCTGGGATCAGACGAACAGTGACACCAGTGACACCACTCTGGGGTTTGAGGTGGATTCAGCTTTTATCAAAGATTCAGTCCAGACGGCCTTTTTCTAGCGCGTGGTTGTGGGTTAAAAATGGTTTGCTGCTTTCATGATGCTTAAAAGACAAGTTTTTACATTAACTGAGCCTTCAAACATATCCAGTATTATTACAACAACATCATATACTCACATAATTTTGTTTCATTTTTTGGGGGGAAATACACTTTTATCTACCAAAACGAATACATGGTTGGACTTTGGGAAGGAGCTTGGTAAGTGCAATTTGAGAAGTGGACATCTAAGCATAAGTTTGGCTGTGTGCAGCCAAACAGTCCTGGCAGAGGACTATCAGAGGAAAGGGAGATGGACACCAGATGAATAAATGGACGGATGCGTCATTGGAACTTTGAATATAACTGTAAAAAAAAACAAAAAAAACAAAAAAAAACAAAAAAGGAAAGCTGTTTAAAGTGATTTATTTAAATTGTAAAGTGTTGTTTCATTTCTCATCTGTGGATGAGACTGCACTACATTGGCTGACACGAGGAGAGAGAAGAGCACTCCCATTACTGTGATTTTATTCTAGTTTTCAGTGTGTAAGACGACGAACTGCTGCTGAGAAGACGACAAAAGAAAACTAAGGCCTTGATGGTCATCTAGTCAAACATAACCACGACATCCGACAGGTTTCACTTCTCTGCTCTCCAGCTTGCTTGTATAACATTGTGTATATTGCCTTATCTAAACAGATGTTCATATGAAATATATGGTGCATTAGTATGACACTGGAATCTTTGTTTTTTGTTCGGATGAACAAACGCATTGAGGTCACGGACAAATAATCTCAGACTCTCATAACCTGCCTGCGATTTCCATCACACACACACACACACACACACACACGCCATCGGCAGCATGAGTTGAGAGACACTGGAGCACTAATAATACAATATATGTCAGTAACAAAGGCTGATTCTGTGTAGATTGGGGTGGGGTGTGTTATATCATTCAAAGGGAGGGAAGTGTTTGATTAAAGGCCCAGCCTAAACCCCAACCCCTGCTGGCCCTATCCCACCCCTCGCTATGTGGAATTCCAGGTGGGTCCCAGGCTAATGACTAGATGGCTGTAATTACCCGGGGCTGTTGATAGCTGGTGATTGGACATGGTTGTGCCACAGAGGGCCTAGTGTGGGCTCCTGCTGGGACCACATTTAATCAAAGGCTTCTTGGCCGGCTTATCAAAGGGAATACTTTCCAGCAATCTTCTCTGCCTCTGCCCCCTCTGTTCCCCAGACTCTCAGTCCAGTTCAGTCTCTGTTATATTAGAGTCCAGGGACTCCTGATAACGTGAATTCTGCAGGATATCACACACGAGAAGAAAATTAAGGCAAAAGTAGAGTGTAAATACAAATGCACAGGTGTGTTTTTTGAGGGACTGGCTCATAAATGCTTAATTTATTACATCTTTATTGTGTAAACTTGTGCTATCCTGGTACAGTTTCTTCAAATTGAAAAGACATTTTTAAATTGCTCTTTTGAGTTCACTCAACCACTGCAAGTTATTTCTTGTGATGATGCGCTATAAAGTTTTTAATGAACCACTATTACTCCACTTATGATTCACCTTTTAGTTCATCGACCTCATCTGCCCCAAAAAAGAGCCCTCAACATCCTAGAAGTGGTCTTTTAATAGCCACGGGAGGCCAATATTGTTAGATAAGATAAGCTTTATTGTCCGTCAGGGTAATATTATCAAGCCGTTCCAGTCACTGAGAGTATTCTAGTGCCAGCGTCCTGAGGCAGAGTCTATCTGTGTCCTGGATGCCAGGCTGAGAGCATTCCTGTTGCAGAGTATCACAGGCAAACCATTAGTCTTTACAGCTGGCAGGCAGCACTGTGTGTACCGACTGAGGGCACAGAAATGGTATCAACAACACAGAAGGTTTAAAGGATCGTTCTGTTTTTTTCTTCGACTTTGGATCACATGTTAGTATGTTTGGCCATCAGCAGCACTGATAACGATAAGCTACCAAATTAAACGTAGATGCTGGAGACGATGGCCTTTTGCAGCAGAAAGAAATCGGACAGCGCAAGAAACGCAGCCAGTCAGATGATTGCAGGTTTTAAAGTAAACCCCAGCTTAGCCAGACTAATTTAGAAGAGAAAACAAACTCTGTAAGCATTGAATGTCAACATTGAGCTGCGGTTGCTGTTGTAGGTGTGTATGCCTAAAGTTTTCCAGCACACTGAGGAATTATTACACAGTGATAGACATATACAGTGGTTTGGAACCTGTCTGAACATCTTCACTTCTCATATTTTTAGCACATTGTTGTGATGTTGGCCCACTTCCAGAGCTGCACAATTAACTTGATGAGTACACTGTTATTATAACTAATAGAAGCAATGGCCAAAGCGTCAAAATAAAGTCCAGGTTGTGGTAAATCAGAGTTATCCTGTGATTGCACAACAAGGCCAAGTAGTCTGACACGGACTGTTTAAGCACCTTTAAGAGCAGCTGAGTGGTAAAATCAGTTAAAACCAGTGAAATGTTCTATATTTTTTTTATTAAAACTAGAGGTTATTCTGTAATGTTCAAACTGCCACAGTGACACGTTACTGCAGTATCTTTAGACGGTTAGCCAGGCATACGCTTCACATGGCCCCAGTCTTTTATTCACCATTGTCACAATTACTCTTAACTGTGTCAGTCTTTTTTTTTTTTTTTTAATTTTCACACTTGTTCTATATTCTCTCTCTCCTCCACTCTTGACTATTCCTGTTTCTCAGAACTGACAGTTAAAAAGATTTATCGACTTTGTGTCCAGGCTGTAATGCATGTCACTCTGGCCTCTGGTTGCAAGATGACAACAGCCCTGAGAATAGAGAATGAACTTCACTCCAATTACATACACATCCGTGCATGCAAGCACACATACACACACATGGACAGAAGTGGACCAGCCAATGAGACTACAGATTGGAACATTTAGCCCTAAAATTCAGCCTTAACTGAGACATACGCACCTTGTAAGAGACAGTGCAAAGAAGACACTGAGCCAAACGGGTGGATGTAGGGGAGAAAGAAATGTATAGGGTTACTTAGAGACCTGGCGGGCAAGTTTATCAGCAGATCTTAATCTGAGCAGAACCGCGTTCCCCACAATTCATCATCATTACCCGCCCCATCTGGCACATCCCTCTGACCGCCTCCCTCCACCTCTTTCCTCCTCCCCGCCTCCGATACTGGTGTCTGTCGGTGGGAATCTAGCTTGGAGATCCACCTTGGGGTGGTCCGGGTGTCAGCCATGCGATCTGTTTTGCACACATATTCGCATGTACACACCTGCAGGCTAGGATAGCACCCCCTCAGTGCCCCCCAAAAACTGACCTATCACCTGTCTGGTAAAACCCTCAGTATGTTAGCAAGCCTTTCCACACTGTCACTCATGGCCAGAAAGTGCATGCAAATATACAAGTGTGTGTGTGTGTGCGTGTGTGTCGTGGGATGAGTTTAGCCCTGAGGGCCAGTAGAACCTGGGTCTTTATTTTTCAGATGCTGAAGGGGGAGTCTGGTAAGGTCAGGGGTCATAAAGTTGAGGTGTATCAACAGAGAAGCTTCAACACTATGAATGACCACTGCTGATCCGGTGCCTGTTGACACCTCCTAAATATTAACAGCTTGCTCATGTAGCTAAGCTCTTCTCTGGCTGGCCAGCAATGAGGTAAACCTATTCAGAAAAACACCTGCTTTGCTGGATTAAAGTGTGGCCTACAGTGAACTGCCTACAGTGCCAACTCTTCCATTCATCTTTGGTCCTGTTGCGCTGCCTTTATCTGATGGGGTGGGTGTCAGCCATTAGGTATTAGGTGATGTAGCGTTGTTGGAAACCGGTTCGGGTTGGGAGACTGTGGGAGCAGCAGGAGGTGCAGATTTGTTAGGGAGCTCAAACTAATATTTACGTGACCTGCCAGGACCTGAGGGGCATGGAGACACAGAAGGGAGAAAAAGTACAGCTATGAATTGCATTGCCTGCTTTGAGGAGAAAAAGGGGATTATGACATAAAGCATTTATCTGCTGAGACCTACAGCAAAAAATGTCCTCCCTTCACCACCTCCAACCTCGTTCCCCCAGTCGCCCCCCACCTTCACTAACTGCCTATTTTGCTCAGTCATTTCCTATAATGGTTCACAGAGAACACACTTTGGTGGCCATCACAGTGCAGTAGTGGCTCTCTAAAACTGCGCTGATCTCTCTTTTTGTTTCTTTGCAACATATTGGTCCAACAAGGCAACGGTTGGCCAAACCAATTCTTTGATCTGGCAAGTTGCTAAGAAAAAGAGTAAAACTGGAATTTTCCAAACAATTCCCCTCCACTGGCAGAGCAGCGTTTCAGCGCTCAATTACCACTGCAGGTAAAATACTTCCAGTGCTTCCACCATCGCTCCAACTACTGACACATACAACCACATGCAGGTTGACCTCAATGAATTTTTCCGTGAGTAGAAAGCCTGTGTGACCTGACCGAGCGCCAATTTGTCATCCCTAATTTATCCTTCGTACAACTTACTCACTGCTACGCCAGAAGTCAAGCTTGGTGTTGGTTAGCAAGAGCATTCAGTGGGTTCAGCTGACGTACGGCCTCGGTGGGGGTTAAAGGACAAAGAGCGTCGGTGCCGAGCCGAAGTCGGACAGTTGGGCCGTTAGTTGCAGTGAATTCTTCACCGTACAAGGTGTGAGGCTGCGATGTGATGAGGTTTGTATATGCGTGTGACAGTGTGAGTGTGTTTATCTCCCTCCCTGTGTGGGAATTTACAGACACACCTCGCAAGGCACAAACAACAGTGACCTGGAAAAATAGTCGAAATTCCACCAACATACCAGGGAATCTGGGGGTTTGGGCTGACAATACACACGCAAAGACAGAGGTGTGGGAAACAGGAGAGATACAGGGTCAGGGTCAAATTGTGTAGGCCTCACAGACACAGATACCGGTGAGTGATACCAGCTGACACACGCTGATGCTGACACTAACAGTGATACCATGACTACCTGAGTGGCATTGATTGATAGCGCTGAGCCATCCCAGCGTGCACACACGATCGACAAACTGAAACTCAGCCCATTCTTGTGGCTTTTAACAGCATATGGTGTGCCAAAGGGATGTACTAACTTGCTCCTCAAACTTCTAATGTAGCAAACATAATTCTAAAAGATTCAAATTTTTGAGCAAAAAAATAATAAAACTAGGCTCTTAAAGATGCCTGTTCCATTATAATCAAGTTTTTTACCTTGTTAACATGGTTGTATATTATTTTCATGTGCAAATTGTGCAGTAAACACAATGGCTGGGCATTTCCACCTTCAAAAACTAAAGGAACTACACCTAAGGTACCAATCCTATCAGTTTGGGGACTTTCTGCATTACTCTCATGCGTCAGAAGTGGTTTCTGGTTCAAATATGTATGGCTGAGTGTTTTAACTAGCGGTTGTGTAGCGTAGAGACGTTTTACAGTGTTTGAGCTGGTGTGCTCGAGCTGCAGCGAGTGGTGGAGGGGTGAGTGGAGTGAGAGGCAGAGATTTAATAGATCTGCAACAGCGTAACTTTACATCTAACACATTTTAATGCAAGAAACTACTTTCATGAAAAAAAAAGGATCTTCCAAATATGTAATTTTGATCTGCAGCAATGAGATTTTAGGGTTTTAATCAGTCACCAGAAAACGTATTTAGTTTAGAGCTGATCTACAACTGGATTTTGTTTCTTATTGCTAATTAGTTCG